TTCACGTTAGCTATGAAGAACAAGAAAAGAGGGGAAAAAATGCCTCAATCTGTACTCCAGAATCCATCAGTTCTCTTTATGGAGGTGGATAACATTTTTCATCATTAGTCCTTGATATTATCATGGATTATTGTATTGATCAAGGTTGTTAAGTCTTTCATAGTTGATAATCGTTAACAATATTACTGTTACTGTGTTCATTGTTCTCCTGGCTCAGCTCACTTCACTTTGTATCAGTTCATGTAAGTTTTCCAGGGTTTTTCTGAAACCATCCCTTTCATCATTTCTTATAGCACAACAGTATTCCTTTATAATAATATGCCATAACTTACTCAACCATTCCCCAATTGATGGGCATCCCTTCAAATTCCAGTTCTTTGTCACCACAAAAAGAGCTGCTATGAATATTTTTGTACCTATGTGTACTTTTCCTTTTTCTTTGGTCTCTTTGGGAAACAAACATAGTGATTGTATTTTTGGGTCAGAGGCTATGCACACTTTTATAGCCCTTTGGGCATAGTTGCAAATTGTTCTCCAGAAAGGTTGAACTAGTTCACAGCTGCACTAGCAATACATTAGTGCACCTATTTTCCCTCATCCTCTCTGACATTTGTCATTTTCCTTTTCTGTCACCTTAAACAATCCGATGGGTGTAAGGTGGTACCTCAGAGTTGTTTTAATTTGCATTTCTCTAATCAGTAGTGAATTAGAGCATTTTTTTTTCATGTGACACTATTGGAAAAGCTTTTAAGGTAGCTTATTGCTCTACCAAATCAGATGCTTTTTCATTGTGAACAAGCAATATATTCACAAGTATATTCTGTTCTCTACAGTCTTCTATCATTTGTAAAATGGTAAATCACTTGGTAAATCATTAGATGGTAAATCATGAAATATCACTTATTGAAAGCTTGCTTGTACTCTACTAATAATGTTCTAGATGTCCTCAATTTGCATAAAGAGAACCGATAAAGATTCTTTAGAGACGGAAGACTAGGCACATAGGTCAGTAGTTAATCAATGTTCTCTCATTTCCCTTTTTTCAATATTAATAAGGTTCAAGATTTTTTCCCGTGCTTTTGTTATTTTTAACTTTCTTGTGTATTGATCCATCAAAGTCCTCAAAATTGTGTCACCTCTAGCATAGAACATTTACATTCAGTCCAGTCCATCTGCTTTTTTCATCTTTGTTCTCTTTAGTGCGTTTTCTATATGCCCTATAAGCAAGTTCAGGAGTGGTTCCACTTTATTTGATGGGGTAAAAGAAGGTTTGTTATAGTAATTTGTACATATCTTTCCATTTTTCTTCTTTTTGTTTTCCTTCCTTCCTTAAATCCCTTTGGAATGATTTTGCTTGCCTAGAAGTCTTGCCAGCCTTTAGCTCTATACTTCTAAATAAAGTGCATTCTTCAATTTTGATTTTCACCAATGTTTACTCCCTGTTCTCACAACCCACAAATCCATTCACATTCAATTTCTGCCCAGAAGTGGAAATAGGTGGATCTGTGAATGGCTCTGCAAAGGCAGGCTGCTGATCACTACCAAATGAAGAACTACAACTCAGAACTCATGTCTACCTCCTCCATCTTAAAAGATTGGTTTATTTTTTTAATCCAAGTATAAAAGTATAGAATTTTGAACTTATGCCTGTTTACATTTTTTTTAACAATTAGCCTATCATTCTAGCCTGTCAAGATTTTTTTGTCCTAATTATGTCATCCATCACATTAACTATTCCTCCCAGCTTTGTGTCATCTACAAATTTTATAAGTATGCCACTTGTGATTTCATCCATATCATTGATGAAAAATAACGAACATCACAAGGACTGTATCCCTGGATCACACTGCCCTCAATTGTCTAATTGATTAGTGTTTCTTCATTAATGGTTCCGTACTGACTACTCCTTACCTATATTCTTATACCCACCAATACAAACTCATCTCATGGTCAATTGCTATGACTCAAAAGCCACTCTGCCCATGAAGGGGCAACAGGCAGGCCAGGATACTCCTACCTTGATAATCCGAAATTCAACTTGAAGTGAATTTGGTGTGTTGGCATAATTTTAAAAGATAAAACAAGATTTTTATTAGAGTACAAATTTATAAATTGTAACACAATATCTTTTTATCTCTTTGCCCTTGTTTTGAAGTATACAACAATAAATTAAGATTATGTACTTAGCCCAGACTCCAGCACTTAGTACAGTGCCTTTCGTATAATCATTGCTTAATAAAAATGCTAGCTAGACTGATTATACTCCCAACAATTCCTTACTGATACTTACCATTATTCTGCTCTGTAACCAGTAACTCTGAACAGTTTGTAGCATCATTCTCAAATTAAGCTCTAATATAGAATATTTTGTATTTTCGTATTGTTTACTTCCTGTCCTCATACCACAGTCATACCACAGTATGAAACAAAAGGATATCACCTGAAAAGTAAAAGTTTTACTTCCAAAAGAAAAAGTTTTACCTCAACCTTTTAGAAAAGCTTCTGATCCCTAAAATGGTGAAATTAAGTTTTAAGGTTAAAGTGGGCACTAAAATTGGGCTGCAGAGTGTGATATGAAGTGTAAGAGGTTCACATTTTTAGCAATGTCCTGGCTTATGAACCCATAACCAAGGTGACGAAACAAAAGCCATTTATCTAAACCAAGGCAAGTTAGTTTACTATGCTTTTGTATGTCTTGGTGCAGTCTATTTTGTTGCATATTTCCTTGTGTCACTACAAATTGTTTCAGCAAGTATATATGCAGTAATTTTGGGGGATGTACAACTCTTTTTAAGTTTATGATTTCCATACCAGTTATCTCTTTTATATCTGTTTAAAGAGTAAAAATAATGAGTTATCCTCTTTTTTCTCTACTTCTTTTTCTATGTTAAGTAAGAGTACAGACCAATCTATTCTCTTGACGTTTTTTACTCCCTTGGGGCTTAAATAAGTACATTAATCATGATGTCTCTTTTCCTAGCAACAACATATCCTTCTTTTTAAAAAATGTTATTCTTTTAAACCCTGACCCTGAGATATCAAATTTCTGCCTCCACTTTCTTCTAATATTAGATACAAGTGTTACTTCCAAACAATTAGTAATCTTCTTTGTACAAATTAAAGGGGAGGATAAGAAGAGTGGGTGAAGGTACTAAATGTAACTGATACAGAAGCAGTTCCTTGGCAACGTTGCTAAGTGCATGCTGTGTGTGTGTGCCTATGTGCATTTATTTAAAGTCACTTAATATAATTTATTTCTTAAATAAACTACCTTTGATTTCAGTGGAGCAACTTCAAAGCCTATTCTGAAGTAAACTGGGATAATTTGGTGATGATTTAGGGTTTTTGATATAGTTTGGTTTCCCTGAACGAAGAGCATTATTAAGGAATAAATTTCAACTCTTAATTGAACAGTGAATTTAGTGGTGTAACAATTTTGACGAAAGAAGGTTTATGTTATTTGTGTTTTAGAGTAAAATAGTGAAGCGTTATCTTATTAATAATAAGTCATATGGCACATTAAGATTTGCAAAGCACTTTCCTCACAATGGCCTGGTGAGGTAGATAGTGGTAATGCAAGTATTATGCCGTGTTACAGATGGTGAAACTAAGACTCAATGTAGGCTACAGACCCTTGGCCAGGCATTCAGACTTATGACTTATGACTCCAAGACTAGTTTTATTTATTTACAACATGCTACCTAACCTATTCTTAAGGGTGAAAAATACAGTAATCCACACTTTATTGCTTTTATCTTGGCACTTGGTGTCCTTTTGTACCGTATTTGTTCCTGGATTTTGGGTTTGGGTCTTGATTTCAGAATATGCTCCTTTTTTAATATCACCTGCAAGAGCTAGAAGTTGGATCCTGTGTGGTTTTTGTTTTGTTTTTCACTCTAAACCACTAGCCCTGCAGCTCGTTTCCCAGACTTAAACTTGGTACAATCATAGAATTTTTATTTGAACATAGCATTCCCCACAGTTTCATTTGGTACGAACAGGAACTACCTTAAAAAATTGCTAGTGACTTTTCTTTTTAATGCTTAAATGTGAAATGAGCTACATACACATGAAATAATTATTGTAATTTTTTAAAATTTGCTCAGAAGTTTCTCTGCCAAACTCTTAACCCTCAGTCTATATAAGTTCAAGACCAGTATTTACAAGTCCCAGCAATAATTTTCAATCCAGTTGTAAGTGGTCCATAGACAAATTACTTAGGGAAACCCTGTCATTGTGGTTTCTAACTATGTGATTCAAAGTAAAGGCCACTTCTGGCAGTTGGTCATAACAAAAGGAAGGATGAGCATCCTGCCCTGTGCTCTTCACTGCCTCAGTTAAAAACTCCATCCAGTGAAAAAAAAAGTCAATCACTGGTGAATTAGTAATGTACTAAAGGCAGTTTCACAGGAGCCAGTAGAAATTTATCCTTACCTCCACACCCTTTACTTTCCATTTTTGTTCCTCTGTGGGGACACACTATTACTTAAAATTCCTGAATTGATTATTTTACAGAATTTAACCGAATTATTATAAGATTAAAAATACAAACAAAGACTTTTATTGTGCTGCTATCTTTAAAAAGTTACTTTTGGGGGCAGCTAGGTGGTGAAGTGAATAGAGCACTGGCCCTGGAATCAGGAAGACCTGAGTTCAAATGCGGCCTCAGACACTTAACACTTACTAGCAATGTGACTCTGGGCAAGTCACTTAACCCTAATTGCTTAGCTAAAAATGAAAGTTACTTTTGAATTAAAATATATGTTTCTGAAACTTTCTGATATGTGACCATTTATAAGATCATTTTGGATGAGAATATAAACTTTTGCAAAAATATATTCCCAATTGGAGAAATCAACATTGGACTGACAATATTAGGTTTCCTCCTTTGCTATTCTTTACATATGCTTAGTTCTTCTTGTAGTAACTTGTATATTTAATATCTTCCTCCTATTTCACTGTAAAATTTAATACAAACCTCTCTTATACCCAATATTCAGCGGCCAGTGCAGTCGTTTGGACAGACAGGAAAAAGGTCAAAGGTATAGTAAATACTTGAGTGTGCTGGCATGTCAAGGGCCTTCCTTCATGCTTGATGAATTCTTGTTTTCATAAAATAACTACATTTAACTTAGTTTTGCCATATTTTGTTTTTGGCAGAAAGCTTATTTTGTTTTATTTGGGGTTTTTGTCTTGCCTAGTTGTCTGCTTTTGTGCATTTGCTTTTATACTTTTGATGGCTTTTTATCCATAGCAAGAGAAAGTAGCTTCCTACCATTCTTTGGGTTTTGTTAGCTTTTTTAAAAATTGGAATTATACCCGTTGCTGCTGCTGCTGTGTGATTTTCAAAGCTTCAACTGCTTTTGTTTTCCCTTTTAACAAAGGGATTAGTGGTGCTTAATGATACATTTAACTTTGTGTACATTTCATCTACTTTGATATTTGGCAGAAACTATTTATAAAGAAATACAAAAGGCCCTCTTTACGGGGTTTTGGATGTGCCCTAGTTTTGTGAAATGTAGTGTTAATTATAAATACTTCTCTTTAGTCAAGTTCAAAGTTAAAACTAGTTCGGAGCCTTGCAGTGTGTGAAGAATCCCCACCGCCTCCCACAGCGGAGATATCACAGGATGATAACCAGGTAAAATTATTATAATTTGAAGGCATGGTAGAAATCATGTATTCCCCGGAGAATGCTTTTTGAAAAGCTAAGGACAAGGTTTTGTTTTGTTTTGTTTGTAGCAGACAGGCCAAATTGATATTTTTACCATGGAATATTGGTGAAAATTTGAAAAAAAAAAAATCTGCCTTGTCTTAAAGCTCAAAGTATCTCTCAGGAAAAAATGGTTAACTCATATGAGGTATGATTGTGATTTTAAGTGTTATAAACTGCCACGAAAATACTTTAAAACATTAAATGGACATTTCAGCTATACAGCCTTGGTTAAGAATTGTTCTTAATTTTTGTTGTTGTTTTCACGTTGGCCTTTTAAAAACTGTATAATATCTGAAAGCACCAAAAATTTACTCTCCTTCCTTTTCTTTAACAACAACAACATTTTTCCAGAAAATGTATAAAGACTGATCAAAAGAGCTCCGATTCCTTTGCTGTTTGTCTACCCTAAATCATTATTCACCCACCACCAACAGTTCTTCCCTCCACCTCCACCAAGTGGGTAAATTGCTTTTTTACAGGGAAGTTTTTAATAGTAGTGTGAGTTTGGTTTTTTGTTATTTTTTTTTTTCAACTTGTGCTATCTGAAGTTCTTCACCTTTTTCTTCCTGTAAAATAAAATACAGAGCTTATGAAATTTAAACAGTCCATCCTTTAAGTATTTTATTTTATTTTCCAAGGCCAAATCACCCAAATCTCCTGACAGATCCACAGTCAATTCCAAATGACTTTGATTTCTTCATGAAAGTATGTTGATTTATTTCTCTTTTTCAGTAAGCCACATATCCATCTAGTTGTGAGTAAGAAACTGCTTGGCTAAAGACCTGTTGTTGATCTGAGGCTCAATTAGATATGTTGGTGATTTGAGCTAAAATTTCTGACATTTTTCCTTAACTATCCTGAATATTAACTGAATTCTTTCTTTTCCAAATGAAGTTATAATTGCAACTCTAAAATTCTAAGTTCTCTAGATCAAAGGTATCAAACTCACAGCTGCATGCAAGCTACAAGTCCCCACCCACCCACCCACAGCTACCCAAACCACATTAAAATATAATTGGGAAATGTTAAAACAAATAAAGAAACAGTACAACGAAGATTTTGTTTAGTTGTGGTTTTCTAAGTCAATATACAGCCCATTTCTATTTGAGTTTGGCTTACTTAGATATTTTGGTATGGTTATGGGATATACTTGTTATAATTATAAATTATTACAATTTTAAAATGAAAGGGAGAGATTATTTTATCTAAAGTTAAATATTGTCATGTTACCAATGAAAATTCTTGAATGAGACATGGAATTTCCTTTCCTGGCTCTTTTAGACTACTTGTTACTTAATTGAATTATGCATAAGTCTCATAATATAGCTTTGCATTTTAACCCATTCAGAATTCTATACCTTTTTAAAAATATGAGTTGCTGAGGTATAATGCTGAATAACCCAAAGACAAGTTGTAGGTTTATCTAAGGTAAGCCCACCTAGCACAAAGATATTTATCGTACTTCCAGAATTATAGTTTTCCTGAGATTTAGAGATAAGTTTGAACTCTTTACTTTAACGCCTCCCAACAGGCCTATAGAGATTTATTAGTCAGTTTCAAACTCTATCTGGCTAATTTCCATTTACGGTTATTTTGTCCCTCTTATACTTTCTCTTCTCCATCTAACTCCCTCCCCATGGGAACCATAGCTGGCAGCTATTATATTACCACCACCACCCCCCCCCAAACAAGTTGAGGATATATTTTGTGAGTTACCTAAGACTTTTTTTCTCCTCTTTCCTATAATTTCCTTTTCACTACTTGGTTAGCATCTTCTCCCGAGAGAAAAATTGAAGTACTTTTTTTTTCTTTTTATTGTAGATCTAATTTTTTAAAAGTTTCAGTCAGGATGGGATTAAGATTATCACATAAAATGAAATTTGGAAACTTTCTCTTAATTTTGATTATTCTCTATTCTATAATAGCATTGATAATTGAGGATTAGCTTGAAAACTATTAATTATTTTGACTTTATTCCATACTGGCATTAATTTTGTATCTGGCTGTTATTCAGTAATAAGAGTTTTCCAGATATTGCTTATGTTAAATGAATCACAATCTGTTGAGGTCTCACTTTTAAGTTAGATACCTATAATCTAGGTTCTGTGTTGAATTATACAGGACTAAAAATCATAGTTTATGCCCCAAAAAGCCTTAACATCCAGTGAAGGAGAGAGGATAAACAAGACATGTGAACACAAATATTGTAAGCGTAAAAGCAGGTGAAAAACTACATAGGGCTCAGTATATGCACAATAGATAAGGATTTGATACATTCTTTAAATGACTGACAGGAAGATATGGGCTGGGTTTCATAAAGGGTAGGAGGAGATGAACATTTAATTCAGAAAAGAGGGGAAAAGGCATTTGTGTACTTTGGCCGAGCTATAGATATCATCCTATAAACCTTTATTAGAACTGTTTTTAAAGGAGACCTTTACTTTTTTGGTCTTTGGTTTTGTTGCTGCCTACACCATCAAGGAATCTCCACCAATGCAGATCTGCAATTGTTCTGCAATTTATGGTCTTAAAGTGTTGCCCAAAGCTAAAGTGCCAGATATGTGACCTGCAGCATGTGGTGGCATATAGCTTTTCCTACTGTGGCCTGAATCAGATTAAAATTTAATTGGCAAATGTTTAACAATTTTTAAAATAAAATAAAACATAGATAAGGTTGACATGTGGTTTTCTCAATCAGTATGCACTTGCAGGAATCTAGCCCCTCTGTCTATTTGAATTTGACACTCATTCCTCCACTCAAAAATATTGACACCTGGGGCACTGAGAGTTTGTGTCAAGTTTGAGGTCAAAACACCCATTAATGTGTCAGAAGTAGGACTTGAACCCAGATCTTCCTTACTGTCAGGCAAGGCTCTCAGCCTGCTAGGCCAACTGCCTGTTATCTAGTGGACAGCAAATTTAGGAAGTTTCCTACATGGAACATAGGCTACAGAATTTGAAAGGATTTTTTTAAAGTACTCCACTACTTTTTTCCTCCTTGCCTTCCTTTTTTCCTTAATTCCTTGACCTATAGAATTCAACTCTATTCCCTACAGTTAAACAATTAGATGAAACATAGTTTTGTTTGTAACTGGGTATCATATTTGGTTAAAGGTTGATGTAGATAAAGCCAATGTTCCATGATCACATATCCCTCTAGCATTAGTTATTTATACTGCAGGTGTATTTAATTGGTCAAAAAGGATACAGATACATCATAAATTCATTACTACTGTGATACAAACAACTAAGAGGCAGTTAGGTGGCATAGTAAATAGAGCCCTGGACCTATTGTCAGAAAGACCTAAGTTCAAATTCAGCCTCACACATTTACTAGCTTCATGAACCTGTGCAAGTCATTTAACCTCCATCTGCCTCAGTTGCCTCATATATCAAATGGGGATAATAATAATACCCAGAGTTCTTGTGAAGATAAAATGAGATCATATTTGTAAAGCTCTTTGCAAACTTTAAAGTGCTATAAGTGCTAGCTATTATTGTTGTCATTATCATTATTACTATTATTATTAAGCTACCCAGCCACTCTTGTCAGTGTCTTAGTGATACCATCTTTGCAACATTACTTTTGTAATAATATGTGAACTTTGAGGTAATCAAGGTATATACATTCATTCATTTATATTTTTTTTTTTGAATAAAATTTGGTGTTGCTCATTAGAATTGATAGGTTTATATTTACTTCCTTTGGCACATTTGCCTGGAATATTTTCTACCAGTATTTGAAAAGTTGAAATTCCTTAAAAAGGAATATTATTTGGTCACACTCAAGTCAGTAGTAGATGGAACTTACCCCTAAATAAAAACATTGCCTAATAGCCCAAGAGAGCATTATTATCTAATTTGAGTTGTTTTTGTGTTATCACAAAAGTATGATAAAATGCAGTTTATAACTTACAGTAGTGGACAGTAAAAGCAAGTAAAGCTTTTTCTTGGAAGTGACAATAAGCAATGCCTTTGGTAGAAGATAACTACATCTATGTATCTATATGGGGATGAAATGTATACATAATGGTTGAAAATTCATTATCTTAAAACCATATAAGTTACATTATCTTATCAGTTCTACCTCTATACTTCTTCACTCAAACAACTTTTATTTCCTTTAGGCCCTCGTCATATGGGCTACAGTAAAAGCCTCCTAACTGATCTCAGAGCTACTAGGCTCTTACTTCTTCAGTGTATCTTCCATACAGTTATGGAAATAATCTTCCTGTGTCACAGGTCTGGCCATATCATTCCTCCACTCAAAAATTTTTAATAAGGGCTTATTGCCTTTAGCATAAAATGCAAACTCCTCAATATAGCATTAAAAGCCTTCCACAATTTGGATCCAGCCTACCTTTCTGGACCTATTTCTTATACCTTGTCCCTTTGCACATTCAACATACCACCAAACTCTGGCCCCAAATTGAGCTTTCATCAATCTCCTGTTTATTAGTAGTCTCCACAAACCTGGAGTATATCCCCATTATTTCTATTTTTGATTCTCCTTACTTTTTTTCAAAGGTCAGCTCCTGTACCACCTCCTACATGAAGCCAGATTGTTAGTTAGCTTTCTCCCACCAAATTATATTGTACTTATTTACCTATATCTGTGCTATCCCCTTATAAAATGTGAGCCTACTGAGAATAGAAACACGTTTTCTCTTTCTTCTTTTTCTTCCTTTCCTTCATCCTTCCCTTCCTTTTCTTCTTTCCTTTGTTTCTTCTTTTCCTTTCTAATTTTTGTCTTTGTTTCACCAGCGCAGTAAGCAATAAATAAATATTAATTAAATTGTTAAATTTTCTCAACTTCCTAGTCTGAGCTTTGTCCAAGAAAGAGAGAAATTCATAAATAAAAACCATTGAACTAGTAAAGTACATCCATCTGGAGACCTCTTAGAGAAGTATATCACTTTATTCAAAGACTTTTACTAAAAAAAGTTTTTCAGATAAAGAAAATAGTTGGCCCAATCTGTTATAAACATGTTACCTGTGAAAATTTAGATTTAAAAAAAAAAAACCTCTCAGGTATTTGGGTGCATATGTAATTGTAACACATTTATTGCCATTCAAAAAAAGTGACAATTTTCTTGCTTGTGCTCCATCATACTTGAAACATATGTTGAAACAAATGAAGCTGTCTGAATGAATCTGAAGACTATAGTTCTGTTTCAGACTTCTTCCAGAGGTGTTAACTCCTTTTAGTAGTGCTGAAAGCCATTTTTCTTTGAGAACAACCTGTTTTTACCTCTGTGTCCTAATCTTATTCTTCTGCATTCTGAAACAACTTACAGAAAATTATAAGTGAACTTGTAGATGGCATAAAAAAAATCATTAAGTAATCATTAAGTGTCATGACCTTCTATGATAGATACCATTCTAAATACTTTCCTACTAATTCACTTGTCTTGGAAAACTGATTTTTTTCAAGGTTGCATAACTAAAGATCTGAAAAGTTCAAATAAGAGATTTATAGTTTGTGATCCGTGAGAAAAAAGTAACTTTATGATGGAATATCATTTCTAGCTTAGTTTAATGAAGTAATTTCAGACTTCTGGTTGATGTGCACTTGAAATTCCAGTTATAATCATACTTAAACACTGAAGTATTAAGTATTAAACCTCTAAGTTACACTTCACATTTTCCCAGGATACTAAAACGTAGAAGAAATACTTAGTATCAAAAAAAAAAAAAAAAAAGTCTAAAGGGAATACAAGAGATTGTCATCATGTAAAAACTTTTTTTTTCCCTTTTGCTGGATTCAGTGGGATTATGGTTGTGAAATAGGCTTATTGGTGAATAATAGATAGGTAAGAGTCATGAAAATTTTACTTTCTATAAGAAGATGATTATCTTTTGAAAATCAACCCAAGACATAATTGAGTAATAGATATTCCTCAAAAAAAAAAAAATAAGGGGAAAGTATCAAGTGGTTAAATCATCTAAAAGTGACAGTATCTTCAAGGGAGAAGAAATAAAATATTGTTTACTTTGGTGAAAATTATCAATACCTTGAATTTGTCATACCACTTTAGACAGATTTGTGGGGAAATTGTAGATGTGGCAGAATAGGAGGATGAAAGTAGCAAGAAATAGAGAATTATTGATAGGAAGATCCAATATGAAAATTAATTTTGAAAAGTTGGATTTTTCTAAATCCCATTTAATATGTATCCTGCTTACTCTGAGTTGAGAGCACTAAATCCCTTTTCCTCTTTAGTATTGATTCCTTGGAGGAAAAAAAAAAAGCAAAACAAAGCAGGTTGGGCACATTTTCTGGAAATTTGATCAATATAAACAGCCAAAGTTAATTCAGATGAAAAAGAATCCAACCTTTTCTTCAGGAATGATAACCTGAATAATTGCTTCCGTTCTCCTCATCATTTTTCCTGACTGAATGAAATCATTACCTCTTCAACTTTCCAGAATATAGGGCTATACTTTTTAGAGAGAGAAAAAGCTTCAGAAATCATCTGGAAATAAGACCTTATAAGTTTGGAGACTAGGATCCAAACAAGTTAAATGGCTTGTCTAATTAGTAAATAGCAAAACCAGTTTTCAAACCCTTGTCCTATGAATCTACATGCCCATGGTATGTAAATTAATTTTGAATACTTTTTTTTTTTATTAAATAGGGATAGACATTACACGATTTCATTAGTATAGAGAGCACCTGGTGAGAAGCTATTTCTACCAATTCCTCTAGTTAAATACATACAATAAAATTGCTTTTAAAACAGTTTTTAAAGTAATAACAAAAGTATACTTAACTGCTTAATTATTTAACTATAGCTAGTCAACAAACATTTATTAAGCACTTCCATGTGCCAAGCACTATGCTATATGCTGGGGATGCAAAGAAAATTAAAAACATGGTTCCTACCTTCAAAGAGCCCACATCCTAATGGAAGAAAAAATAAGCACTATGCAGGTATCTGTGTACATACAAGATAGATAGAGAGAAGAAATGAAAGCTGATGTGAGAGGGGAAGGTACTTGTGGGCCATGGTTGGGTGGGAGGGAGGGAGGGAATGGAAAGTCCTGTTGCAGAGTGGAGTTTAAGTTGTGTCTTGAAGGAAACCAGAGAAGCCCACAGGCAGACGAAAGGAGAGAGAGCATCCCAGGCCTAGAAGATAGTCATTGTAAAGGCACTGAGTCAGGAAATCCAGTGTCATATTTGAAGAAAAGCAAGAAGGCTGCTGTTTCTCAATCATAGAGAACATGGAATAAAGCGTAAGAAGACTAAAGAGACAGAAAAAAGCAATATTGTAAAGAGCTTTAAAAGACAAATAGGATTTTGTATTTGATAATTGGAGGTAATAGGAAGTTACTGGAATTTACTGAGACAGGGGTGACATGGTCAGACCTTTCCTTCAGAAAGAGCATTTTGTCAGCAGAGTGGAAGATAGATCAGAGCAAAGGGAGGAAGGGAGACCAACCAGAAGGCTATGAGCAGTAGTGCAGGCATGAAATAAGAGCCTGCGCCAAGCTAGTTGCTATGTAAGAAGGAGAAATATTTCAGAAAGATTATGAGGGTAGAAACAACATGACTTGGCAACAACAGGTAGGACATATAGTCTGAGAGTAAGAGAGGTTAAGAATGACACAAGGTTGCAAGCCTGGGTGACTAGAAGAAAGGTGGTGCCCTCATCGGTGACGGGGAAGTAAACTTTAATGTATTAAGCTTGATGCATTTCTCAAAAAAATCTCCTTCTCTCCACTGTCATGACCATCACCCTAATTCAGGCCCTTACCCTCTTGTAATAATCCATACCTGGCAAGTAATCTCTGTTCTCCTTGGCCTCTTAGAGCCCTTAGTTGATTGACAGTTCAGTGCAGATGGCACTGCCAGAAAAAGACCTTTCCTTATCTTTTTATCTCCAAGCTGTTAGTGTCTCCGCTGCCAAAATTATCTTTTATTTAGACTTATTTTATTTAGATTAATTGTACGTGTCTATGTTATACATAGTATACACACCCCTTATAGAATGTAAGCTCCATAAGAGCAGAGTCGTTTATTTTTTGGCATTGTGTCTTCAGTGCTTAACACAGAGTCTGGAACTTAGTAGGCATTCAAAAGATGCTTGTTGATGATTAGGTGAAAATTTAAAACCAATAACAAACTAAGTGGGATAAAAAAAGAAAAAAATGTTGTGGAAGCCTTTCCAGACTCTAGTCATATCTCTTCTTTGTGCAAATTGAAAGAAGTGATATGGAAATTCCTTATAGCAGATAATTCATCATTTATGTTTGGCTTTGGATAAGATTTTGTCCATTGGTCATCTTGAACATTTTGGGGTGTTGATATGAATTCATAGTTTTTTTTAAATCATTTATTTTTGGTCCAGAACTCTCATTTTATTGTTATAGAAAATTCCTAGTGAGAAAATTTATTCTGCCAATATTAGATCAGCAACTGTTCTGTAACTTAGAGTATGAGCACATGGCCTGGGGCACTAAGAGATTAAGTGACTTGTGTGAGCTCAGGCATCCAGTGTGTCCCAGAGGTGGTACTTGAATCCAGTCTTCTTACTGCAAAATCAGCCCTTTATTTGCTATGCCATGTAGCCTTGTTATCAATGGTATTTTTAATTAACTTTTTGTACATGCCCTAGTAACACCGGACAGAATTGAAGCTTGTTGTTTATATATTCTAAGGGGTTAAAATTGTATAAATCATTAATTTGACAAAAACATGGTGTATAATTTGTCATAAACTAAGTTTTATAATACTTTACAAACCAAAATATTTTACAGTATCGTCTTTGATATCTCACATTCATACTTGTATATCTGGATAATGTGTGTTTATTTTATATTTTGACTTTTTTTAATATATCCTTTTCTTCACAAAGAGAAGAGCATTTTTTAAAAATCCAGAATAGTTTACATTACTCAAAAATTTAAAAAAAAATAAAATTACATTACTAAAAAATTATACAATACCTGAATTTGTTAGTTTTTTAACAAATAACTTATCTCATCTTTCAGCAGGAAAAAATCCAGATCCAGTTAACACAATCATTTGAAAAAGATGAGAAACCCTCCAAAGATGAAGGAGAAAAAGAAAAAGGCGATAAGTTGCCCAGAAAAATGTTATCAAGAGGTTTGCAATCTAGTTTTTTTTTTTTTTTTGTTTCTAAGTTGCATTTTATTTATGCCAGGTCAAAGTCCATGTGAGTTGTGTAAGTAGTAAAATCATTTTTGCAGATAATTTAATTATACTCAAATCCAGCAAAACATTTTACAAAGAAGACAGCAAAAGTACTAAGAGCCACAGTCAATGTGATAATGGTAGTGGATTGTGTTTCCTAGTCTTTGGTGTCTTCATGTTGAAATATTTAAATCAACATAATATTTTGTACACTCTTCCTCAGAATATTACTACAAAAATCTTAATATCAGAAGCACAAGTTCAAGAGAAACATACATAAGAGATTGTAAGGAGCACTAGCCTGAATAAGTAAAATTTTTCCCTTCTGAAAAATATGGCCCAAAATATTAAATTTCTGAATATGAGGTTTTAAAATCCTTACAAGAACACTTGAAGTAAATTTTAACACTTAGTTTAAAAATTTGGGCCTACGTCTTTTATTGATCAGTCACCAAGCTAGTAGGAAATGTTATATAGAGAAAATGTTAATCCAAGAAGATGAATTCACAAGCCAGTTTATAAAATATTTGCAAAGAAGTCTTTTAATGCTCAGGAAATATTGTAGAGATATGATTCCCTAAAACTATAAAATGAAATTTCCAAGATTACATTTTATTTGGAAAAGGTGAAGATACCTTTTTTTGATAAACTCATTGGAATTTTTTAAGATCTGTGTTCCAAAAAATTACGCACTTGCAAAGAACATATAATATTAGTTAATGATTAGCAAAAATTAAATGGTGGTTTGGTCTGTTAACAAATCATTTTTAAGTGGACTCTGAAAGAAATCAGTGTAAAAGAAACGTGAAGTAACCAAATTAATCCAAAAAGTGTGTTTTAGTACAAAATAATTATCTATCTTTTTTGACATTTTTAATTAAGCAAGAAATATTGTGAACTTCAACTGTGTAGAACCACTTAGGATTTTAATTACTTTTATTCTGTTTCTGTTAATACTTTGTCATCATTTTTACATACTTTTTACTTCTTCACTTGCAAGAAATGTACAATAGTCTTTTAAATATCACTATCACCATTTGATATTTTGGAGCCCTCATAGTATACTGATCGGTATTTAATTGCAAAAAAAGCCCTGAGAGTTTTCTACTGGTTTTGGTTCAAGATTAAATTTTAGAGGTGCCTTCCATGTGTTTTGTTGTTTTTTTTTTTAATATGCATTGTTATTGTCAACTCGTATCTGAAGTAGGATAGCCAGTTTTTATAATCAGTCAGCCTTTGGAAGCCTGAGCGTATTGAAAAGAAACACGTAAACATGAGTACTTTAAAACAGTTTGGCCAGTAAGTTACGTTATACAGACCCTGGATGAAATGTGTGTTTTGCTTTTTTTTTAGTATAGACTGAACCTAGAAGTATTTTTCTCTCCCCATAATTAAAATTCTTGTTCCTTCACTCCACCAAAATTCTGTCTATAGTAACACCAATAAAATTGAACTAAGCATTATCTTTTCTAATAGAAATCTTTAAGTCTAAATTATTTGGAATTTTTCTTTTAAGGAAGACATGTTGAGCATGAGGAGAGTGGTAAGTACGCATTAGGATTTTTCACAAACTAAGAAAATACGTTAAAATGTTATTTGTTAGATTAGATTGTGTAACTATATAAATTGCTATTGGCAGAAATTATATGGAAGAAGAATTGTGTTGGTCCAAATTATTTTTGGTGTTCCCCTTTCCTAGTTTATCAATTTTTCTGTGTGAGGAACATCTTTTTTATCCAGTAAAATTAAGATGAACATCATGTATATAAGGATAAAAAGATAATTCAAGCAACTTTATACTGGGTTTTTGTGTTGTTGTTTTTTAGATTCCAGTCAAGAATACACAGATTCAACTGGCATAGATCTACATGAATTTTTAGTAAATACATTAAAAAACAATCCCAGGTAAAAATAAATAAAAAGGTTTAAATTAAATCACTCTCAGTGTACCATAATCTTGCTTTTTCTATCTTGACTACTGAAAGTGTTATGAGTATAGCTAGAGATTTCAATGAGAGTAGAAACAGTTTGTTTCCTATAACTAAGATGATGTTCAGTATGTGTATTATGTAGATATATTTTGATAGTACTTTTCACTATGATACTTAACCCTCCGTTTAGTTGTTTAAGATAAAGACAAAATTTTGCTTTACCATAACATAAAACGCAATGTTACAAAATGTAAAATATTTATTAAAGTTGGCTTTTATGTTTTAAACATAGTGCTTTTATGATTTTCTTTCTGCGGTTGTTTGTTGTAAGGGCTGTTTAAATGTTTTCATCAAATTGAGAATATTTCTGCCCTTTTTAGTTGTTTAATGTTTAAAATCCTAGATGTTCAGAATATATTAAAGTGGAATTACACTTTGACACCTATACCAGTATATCATCAGACTTCTTTGAGATTTGACTTTTGAGGAATCTTGCTCTGAAGTTGTAATTCATATTTATCATCTATACTAATTTATATTTCTTTTCTATGGAGGATTGTTATTGTTTATTTTTACTTGAATTTATAGCCCAACAGAGAAGGCCTTTCAAACAAATAATTTTTGCCATCCCATGGAAGGTATGAGACAGAAAAATGGCCAATTTGTAGAGTGAGATAACTGTCAGTTCTATATAACTTGGTGTTTTGCATCTATCTAAAGGGTGATATCTACTTAAAACATGGGCAAAAAGGAAGAATTAAGCCAAAGGCCAAAATGCCTAGAAAATCAGACCCACTCATATGTAAATGTAAGCATAAAACATTTCAAAACCAGATAGCAATTCATTTTGGTTTATCCACATCTCTGCTTTTCTCTATTAATACAGATATATATTTGCCTGGTGCATACTATTAATAAGTGTGTATTGATTGATTAGCCTAAGGATGAATGTGTATTTCATAGCTAATGTATAAAATATGGCCAATATCAACATCAGACAGGAAATTGTGGCTAATATTAAATCTTATGAGGGGAAAACAGAAGGTTTATTCATCTACTGGCTTTGTAAATAATCTTCCTTAAATTTAAGCATGAATCGTAATTTTTCATGGTTGTAACTTAATGATGTGTTATCAGCTTCTGCTGATTTTTTTTAAGATCTAACTTTAACCACAAGGTATAATATTGGGTAAGTTTACAACTTTTGTCACATTAAAATGTATTTTTATCCTTAAAATATTCATAACATAAATACAGAATGTGTAGATTTTCTTTTATTGTTAAAAAAATTATCTGAAAGAGTTTTCCATTTCCCATTTTAGAGTATCAAATCTGATTTTTTTCATCCTTAGGCCAGTGAGTGAGTGAATCTAATCCAATGATTATGACTTAAATTGAAAGTTATCTGAAGCATATTTTTTAAGCAACCAACAAAAAAATTTTTCTAGATCCTGTTGCAATAGCAACTGATACCCATCCATGAGGCTTAGGAGTTTATCAGTGACTTTCCTAGGAATTGCACATTCTAACAAAAAAAAAAATTGTACATTTTTTTAATCGTTGTCTGAATATTTCAGAGAAGTTCTACTTAACTAGTCTTGTGTAGAAAAACAGTAGCCATTTGCTTCCATTTACTAAATTAGATCCAAGATTAAATGCCTTAATTTTTAAAATGCTTCATTTTACTTACTACCATTGATTTAAACTTGCATATTGGAAGAGCAGCATGGTATGGTTTATTACAAATATTCAGTAATTCCAGAGTCATTAGTGTTTGACTGTTAGAAAGTTTTGTGATATATGTTTCTTCTTTCAACAGTAGAACTATTCTAATTATAATTGGTTTAGGCTAATGTTAAAATTAATTTACATTTTTTATTATTGGGGAGAGATGGCCAAGAGATGGTCTTTCTAGATGGGCAGGAAGAAGACAGATGTTTTTGCTTTGGCACAGATAATTAAAAAATATACATATATATTTTTCATGCACCTAATGAATTATTAGTTCTGGCATAGTAACTTGAATCCTAGTAGCTAAATATTTGATACAGTTTTAATAGTGATCAGTTTACTCCCAGGCATTGCTTTACTTTGTAGTGAGATCTGATCCATTATTTTTCATCTTTTCTTTATAAACAGGTAATATAGATCTAGATGACTAACTTTAAATTTTTACTTTGAATAATTTAATTTTTTTAAGTGAATATGTTTTGAAGTACTTTGGATATATCAAGGGATGATATTCATGTGGAGCTATAAATAACTTATTCATCAACATCCTTTATAAAGTTTTTTTCAGTAAAATTCACATTTGTAAGCTTAAACAAGACTCTGTACCTTGATCACAAGTGTTAGCATGTTAAAAAAAAATAATGAGCACAGTGAAATAAACATTGTAAAACTTAAAAATAAGTATAGAAATTGGAAGAAAAAAACATGATTAGAACAGTATTGGAATCATAAACCAGACCCTAATTAATCTAGTAACAGACCTGGACATGAATTAGGTCTGTTAGGACTTGTAGAGTTCATTTTCATTCTTATAGGAAAACAAAATTCTTTGCAGATTTTAGCCCACAAAGGAAACCTTAATCTGTCCTGCATTTGAGGCTCGAACACAGAAAGCTATTTTAAATATACCATTGCCAAGTGGAAAGCCTGAGAAAACAGTATGATTTTATAGTTGTGAAAATGGCTTCATTATTTGTGACAACCTTGTGAGGCAGAATTCTAAAACTTCTTTTAAAAGAGAGAGAGAAAATAAAAAAACTTTCTGTATCATAGAAGTAGATAGAAGTGCCAAATGTCCTCCCTTGGGATTGAAACCACCAGGTATTCATACTTCATTTTCCACCAAGAAGAATCCTAACTTTAAAATGTGTTTTGGGTTGGAGAAAATTATGTGTGGGATTTTGTATCACAAGTGATTGACTTAGCACTGCATTAGGCACAAGGCTTGGCATATACTAGGTTCTTAATAAATATTTCTTGAATTTACTTGATTTTCACAGCAATCATCTTGGGAGAAGTTTGCTTCTCACTGTTCAGTTAACAGTGGAAAGTCAAGTTAATAGTTGGGAAATAGAAAGGGATAAAAACCTCAGTGGGTAACACATTAACTTTTAAGTGAGATATAAGAACATTTCTCACTTTAAAATGATAAGAGATTAATAACGTTTGAGAACTTTTTTGCATGTGTAAACATAAATATGTGCTAACTATTCTTCCTAATCAGATTAGTGAGTTATCGTGATTTATATTTGGAATTACTCCTATTTGAAAATTAACCCTGTCCCAAATCAGGGAAATATTTAGAGCTGTTATTTAAAATGTACAGGAAGTTTCAAAAGTGTTCTAATGCAAGTATGACATTACCTCTGACTTATTATAAAAAGAATCAATACAATAGTTAATACAACCCATTAAAAGATTTTAGTAAAACCTTTATGTCTTTGAGCATCAATCAACTTTGCTTTGATAGCCTAAAAAGGCAGAAAAAAGAGAGTTATTCTGTGTGTTGATGTGGCAATTTTGCTATTACACATATAGTTATAGTGTTTTCCAGGGATGTTCAGTTTTAATGTTACTGGTCTTTTATTAAGTATTCATCTTAATACATGAAATTTCTAGTGACTACAAAAAGATGACTCTAGTTCTGTATTCCCAATACATAAAGTGAGGCCTTTGGGAATCTATGACTGCTTTTTTAGACCACTAGGGTATCATTAAGTGAGTTACAGTCTCTTTACTAACTGAAGTCATAATAGTCTGAAAGAGCTTATGCAGGATCCCGAGGGTTCTCGTTTATTTTACATGCTTGAAGAGGATGGCTGTCATTGGATTTTTTGTTTCATTTTGTTTTGTTTTTAAAGAAAAAGTACCTAAAACTCTGTGTTAAAAGTATAGGTTTCATAAAAGCAAGGACCAAGTCCACTTCCCCTTCATCACAGTTAACTAAAAGAATAAATATTTCTGATGCCATTATCCTGTGATGCTCAATTCCCTTAGTACTTGATTCCCTGAGGAATGGTCCTGTTCTTGGCATTCCATAGTCATTTTCTTGCTCCATGGGGTTCTACATGGTTATGACATTGTAAACATAATCAAAGATTTTTATTTTTACTATCTTTCCATTACTTAGCCATAAAAACAAGAGAAATTTTTATATCCTATTTCTGCCTCATTGCAATCTTCCTGTGGTACAAGGCTATATAACAAATTAATAAATAATTAATAAAGGTTTTCATTCTTTAAAAGATGACTATTTTGGAAAAACTAGCCAGTGCTGTGGAATCCTGTGGTGATTGAGCCCCAGAATTCATTTCTTAGAAGAAAATGTGTCAACCATGTATCTTTTAAATTCAGTGACATTTATGATTGCTTCAGTTTTAGGTTTCATATGAAAATTGTTACATTTTGTTTTTCAGGGACAGAATGATGCTGCTGAAATTAGAACAGGAAATCTTAGATTTCATTGGTAATAATGAGTAAGTTCTGAAATTTTAAAAGAAACAAAATTGCCAACAGCAATTTTATTGTTTTGCTAAACATGCTTTTTTTTTATTTCTAGATCTCCAAGAAAAAAATTCCCCCCAATGACATCTTACCATAGAATGCTATTACATAGAGTAGCTGCTTACTTTGGATTAGACCACAATGTTGATCAGAGTGGGAAGTCAGTCATAGTAAACAAAACTAGCAATACAAGAATGTAAGTGCTAGTGTGTCTCTGTCTGTGTCTCTTTGTGTGTATTTCGACAAATGTTTTTATATATATTGCTTGAATAATTCTTCCTATTGCACCTTTCACATAAGCCTCTCCTAGTGCTTTATCAGTTTAGTTGATTTAACATTTAAATGACTTTTTATAGTAATAATCAAAAAATCATTTCTTTCACCAGTACAAATTGTTCCAACCTGAGCTTAAATGTAGCAGATGAATGAAAAATTTATGTAATGAATTAATATCTTTGAAGTTGCTATGTGAACATGGTATATAATTCAAAAATGCACAAAGACTCTCCAGTAGGAGTCATTTTTTTTACTCCTGGTATCCAGAATCAGCGAGATATTGGAATACGTCAGCATGTAAAAGACAAAAGTATCAAGTGGGCAAAATCTATTTTTCATATCCTGCTCTTTCATTCTTGCCCATCTTTCCTCCTGTTTCCCAGACACCCCTCATTTCCCATCACTAGCCCAAGTCCTTTCCCCTACAATTCCAAATTATTGTTGTTCATCCTTTCTAAGGTGTTATTACTCAGTAGTTTAATTATAAATTAAGCTTTATCTTTTTCGACTGGCATTTGCATTTTAAGAATAAGTTGAACTCTTAAACAAGGAAAGAAGAGTTCAGCCAGAATTGTAGAATGGCAGCCAGCGAATATTGATATTTTAAAGAAAGAGCTACTCTTCCAGGTCTTCAATTATGTCACCCTCTCAAACTGACCATATATAGGACTGGCCCAGAAAACATCTTTTGGATTGGCTCAACAAACTCGAGTCCTTAGCAGTAACCTACCAACTTATCTAACTGGCAGTCATCCATCTTGTGGTAGTAAGCATCAACAGATTTGAAGAAGTATTAAAAACACTGATTTTTTTCTAACTTGTTTCCCTAACATCCTTGAATCCTTTATTTCAGGGCCCATGGTTATGTTATATTTATTTATATCCCATTTGATTACAGCCCACTCAAGGTATTTACCTGGTACTGAATTGGGGCTTTGAAAATTCATTTTTCACTTTACAATAAATCCCTCATCTCTGATAAGTATGGATTGAATTTAACAAAAACTATCATCTATTGTTTTTCATAATCATAACACAACTAGAACTAAACTGACAAAGTATGGACGGCTTTGAAAGGTGTTCTTTTTACTTTAGAGCCTAAGTATTTTAGCTTTATTTAAATATGTTGCTTTTCCTGCCTATTCCCCAACTACTTTTTTGTTCCTCAGTCACTTAGGAACTACAGTCATGTCCAAACCTAGAAAGATTATGAATTGAGTTAGGGGGAATAAGCTTGAAGAGCAGTCACACTAAAGGTGAACCACAATTATCTTAACCAGATACCTTCCAACTTTACTAAAAGTTGCTGGATGCCCAAATTCATCTTCATTAGCAGGCATTTTGACTAACCTTTAGACTAATGATTCTCTAAGGTTTTCAATACAGTGTAACCTCAGTCATTTGAATGTCATAAGTCATGTTAGAAAGTTTTAGGGTTTTTTAATTTAAGACCAAAAAAACTTAACTAATTTGAAATTTTATATCATACATTTTAATAGTACAGAACATTGACATAATTGTGGATAACTGAAATTTCAAATCATTGAAGTTACACTGTATTCTTATTTTATATCTTCTGGGATATAAAGGAGGTTTTAAAACAGAAAACCTTAGAGATCTACTCCAATGAATAAAAACAAACTTGCCTTTTCCTCATAGGCAGATTCCCCGCTCCAGCGTTGAACCTGTGGTGTTATGGAAGTCAACAACCCAGTGCACACTGGGGTGTCTCAGTAGAGCGGGAAGTTGGCGATTGCAGGGCAGTAAATTCAGGCACCTGTAAAAGAAAGAGGTAAGACAGTCTTAAGGTTAGCTGAAATGCCTGCTAATGCTACTTGGGGTGGAAATCCAACTGCTCTTAGAGAAGTTGCAAGGCACATGGTTCAACTTTATTTCCTTTAGGGCATACTTACTAAAACATAAAATCCCTGAATCATGTAGAAAGAGGAAATATAACTTCATACAACTATAAGACTGTCCCTAGGTATATATTGAAAAATCACATGACTTAAGATAGTACAGTGCTTTTATTGTTATAGTTATAAAAAAGTTGATATTTTAAAGATTTGACTTAAGGAAACATTTTTACCTTCTTTATTTCTGCATCTCTGGACATGTCTAATTAAGATCTGTCCCTTACTCCAGTTGTCCAACTAAATCTTTTAAAATTTTTCACTAATTTAGTTTATGTTCACATTTCATTTAACGAGTTTTCTCAAGTTATTTAGTTTGTTTTATAAGAGTGATGTCAGTATTGATTTTGCATTGGAATAATAATTTTCACACTTATATAATACTTTAGAGTTTGCTAAGAACTTTCTTTACATCTCTGTTAAAGAGAGAGTAGTAAAATGAGAGATATTCTTTCAAATGAAAGATAGGTTATTCAACCTCTATGGGACATACACCCTCTCTGTCAAACCATTACCTTTGGTCACAATTTTAACCTTTGAAACAGCTATTTTCTACTGTTACCCAGAATCTCATAGAGCACAAATTATAGAAATAAATATTATACATAGCAGCTCTTTGTAATTTGAATACTTTTTAAAGTAGTCTGTAAGATAAGTGTTTTTTGGTTAATGCTAACCTACATTGTCATGCTTTTTTTTCTTTTCTTTTTTAGACCAGATCAGAAATTTAATGATCATATCAAGGATGATAAAGGTGAAGACTTTCAGAAGCGTTATATCCTTAAAAGAGATAACTCTAGTTTAGACAAAGATGATAATCAGGTAACTGTAATTGGAACATTTTTCCAACTATGGCATTTATTCATTTTCACAGTGTAAATATTCACTACTGTTATTTTCATTTAGATGAGAATACGATTAAAAGATGACAGAAGAAGCAAATCTATAGAAGAGCGAGAAGAAGAATATCAGAGAGCTAGAGATAGAATATTTGCCCAAGATGTATGTAAACTAAATATAAACTTACTAATTCAAAATGTTGAAAGTTGTGCTGATTGTTAATTTGTAGAATGCTTTTATACCCTCACCACTGCTATTGGGCAAAAGCTTCAAAAATTGAGTGTTTCTTTGTTGTCTGTGAGGTTTTTTTCTTTATAGATACAATACGTAGTTGGCCATAACTCAACATTTTATATCTGTCCTTTCTTTATAGTCCCTGTGTTCCCCAGAGAGCTATCTTACTGACAAAAGGTAAGTATGTTTTTGCATTCATTTTTATCATCATCTGAATTCTGCTGACAGTAATCAATTAATGTCTTCTTAAAATTCCAACAGAATCCAAGAGGAGGAAGCAAATAGTACACAGCAAAGACGCCAGATATTTAGGTATTTGACGCTTGTTTTAAATACCCTTTAAAATCCCCCACACATATTTTGCCATCCTTTTCTTACGTTTTTAAAAGCCATATGTGTTTTCAGAGTCCTGTTATCTAAATTCCAGAGTCAATAAAGAAGCGTCTGGAAGATCAGCCGCCAGCCATCAGAGCAGCACCGAGAACGAGCTCCGGTGCTCTGAGCCCCGGCCCTGGAGCAGCACGGACTCCGATAGTTCCCTCCGCAGTTTGAAGCCGGCGGTAACCAAAGCCAGCAGCTTCAGTGGCATTTCAGTTCTGACAAGAGGGGATAGCTCTGGGAGCAGCAAAAGCATAGGCAGGCTTTCAAAAACAGGTATAAATGTCTCTAAAGAGTTATGGAGCAAAATACTGATTTTCTTGGTAATCTAATGTCTTGGCTTATTGTGTATGGTGGTAGTATGTAAATGTCCCTAAAAGCAGTAATCCTTTCTGTATAGTGCAGGCAGATTTTAAAACATTTTTCAAAATAAAGTTTTTATTTTGAAATAGACCATTACATGGTCTAATTTTAAGGAATGAGTTAAAGTTAAACTTCTTTGAAAATTCATCCCCCTTGCCTGAGTTCAGCAGAGTCATTCAGCCAGAATATAAAGTATTGACCATATTGGTAGTGGGGCACCTTGGTGGAACACTTGATAGAACACAAGGCCTGGAATCTGAAAGACCCAAGTTCAAATCCTGCCTCAGGCACTTGCTAGCTGTGTGACCCTGGGCAAATCTCTGAACCCTATTTGCCTCAGTTTCCTCATCTGTAAAATGAGCTGGAGAACGAAATGGCAAACCACTCCAATATCTTTGCCAGAAATACCCTAAATGGGGTCACAGAGAGTCAAACACGACTGAAGCAACTGAACAACAAATATTGGCAGTGTTCTTTTTTTAAGTTCTCCAATGAACCCTGAAAGTTATTGTTTGGGTTTATATTATTGTGTCTTCCTTCATCTAAATTGAAATGAGTAAAGGTTGTTGAAAAATGTTTTCTTGGGGTAGGTAGAAAGTAGGGATTTAATACCAGGCTAGAATTTGTGATATTCTAAATGACCAAAGCAGTCTAATAACATCCCCCCCGCTTTTTTTTTTATAACAATATGTTGATTCATAACCATTTTCCCTCTCTGTTTTTTGTCTTCCAACTTGATTGAGTCATGCATCTGTCAAGCCCTTTGTGTGCCTTTATTCTTGAACTAAAATTTCCATAAAAGTTAGCAGAACTATCATTCTATGCAGAACAAATATTCAGTTTAAGCTAGATGTGTAGTTCTGAAGCTGAAGATCTGAGGTGGACCTGTATGTTTGAAGATGACAAAATTTTTCTAAAACCTAACTTTGTCATTACTGTAAATTGCTCATTTTAGTGAACAACACTTTTTCTCTAACCTTACCTTTGCCAGTTCTTCTTTCAGAAAACAAATAAAAATACATTAATGGTAGAGTACTTGAAAAGATACTGTTTAAGATTGGTAAGAGTTTCTGTATGTAAGAAACCTAATTATATAATAAATACATGCTAGCCAAAAAAATCCATCACAATTTGAACTGGCAAATAAAATAAATAAATCACCTGCAAATGAACTTTGAAAATGCTATATGTTTTGTAGAACTAATTTCTGTAAGTTTTTTTTTATTTCAGAAGAAAAGAAATAAGTTTAATTTTTGTCATTAAAGGAAAAAATTATTTTAATAGAACAGTGATCACTGTTAATAAATATTGCTTGGTTGTAATAGTTTAAACAACTATGATTATTTAATGGTATAGATTGTAAGGGTACTGGATTTGGAATGGGGTCCTGAAAATGCACTTAGATTTGGGGGCAGACACTTATATTCAAATCCTAGCTCTACCACTGTCCATCTATGTAACTTTAAATCTCAGTTTCCTTCTTTGTAAAATGTAAAATCTCAACCTTTGAGATTCTTCTAGTTTTACATCAATGTTCCTACTCTTCAAATTTTAAACCATTATCCTGAAAACAACTAATTCTCCATGTACTGAGTCAACTTTCACTTTTTAGAGGCTGATCATCCACACCCATTTCAATTTCCCCATCCAATTGCCTACCAGTTAGCCATTTTGTTGATTATTTTTACCCAGAAAGTGGACAAAAGATAGAGAAATTGTTGAAACTCAATTGAATTAGTTTAGCAGTTTACTTAGAACTTCAGTGTGGAAAAGTTGAAACTAATGATTAATAGGATTTATTTACTGTTTCTATGAATTTCATTTCATATACCATCCCTGTCTACTGTTTTCATGGAAAATTGGAGAGTTGACTTTATTATTGGAGATGATGTGAATTCCAAATGCAGTTCTTAGAGAGTAACTTAAAATTATTTGCAAGAATATGTAATGTCATTTAACTTGGTCTTTTCTTTGTTCTGGATTACATAAAGAGATTTCAGATACAAGTTCTTATGCCCTTGAATATGTTATGCTTTTTATTACAAAAGGAATTATAACCTATACATTCCTTTGGTGTTTTTCAAAAAGGTAAATTATGTCAATTTATGTTTTGGAAATTTGCTTGATGTGCTTTTTGGCTGTTTGTTGTCTGATTTTATTAGCAGACTGCTTGAATTGCATGCTTTTGCTATGTAAGTTTATTATTGTAAATAGCTTCTATAGTCTACTTACTGTAATAAACTTGCTCAAGAAAAGTGTATAATTTAACAGACGATCCAAAAGAACCAGCGTTTTATATGGTAACTGCATGTTATGATATACGTATATGATAAATTTTTAAAGTCTGCATTTTTAAATAACTTTGATATTTCTATATCTAAATAAAACATCAATTTCTCATTACTCCTTTCCTAGGTTCTGAGTCTTCTAATAGTGTAGGGTCATCCACGGGCTCTCTTTCTCACATCCAGCAGTCTCTTCCAGTTACAGCTCTCAGCCAACCTTCTCATGGCCCCCCTGTCGTCTATCCACCTGTCAGCACTAGTAACTCTCTTTCCTTTGATGGTGGCCTAAGTGGGCAAGTTGCACCTCCTAGCACTAGCTTCTTTTTGCTTCCCTTGGAAGCAGCAGGCATACCACCTGGCAGTATTCTGATCAACCCACAAACAGGTTGGTATCCAAATGTGGATGTATGTTTTAGTCAAGAACTCAGGAGTTATTTATAAATTAAAGCACATTTATGCATTTTTTTTCTGTTTGTCTTTACCATCTTTACATTTTTCATGAATTATTTCCTCCTAAGACTTTTTTTTTTTTAAAGTTTAAATGTGTGTAACAATATTTTTTCCAGTGTGAACTTCATGGCATCTCCTTATTCTAGTCTGAATGATGGTTTAAATCAGAATAGGAAGAGTAAGTCGTACCCTAGAAATAAACAAGGTGCCTTAGATCAAATCTTACTAAATTTAATTTGTTCCCAAAGTACCTTTTTCCTCCAGACAAAATTTAATGTGACTCAAAAGTATATGCAAAAATATGTATAATTAATTACCATTTTCATAAATTACTGTGAAATCTTTTAAGTGGTAGTGATGTTATTCTCTTATAGCTATACTTTATTGGCACATATGGCATAATTAAGGGGTTTTGCCAAACCCTACACATAATTCATTAATCCCCACCTCCATCTCTTAGAACATTATGCTTATATGTGACTTATGTATTTGTTTATTTAAAAATTAATTTCATTTAGTGAATATTTAATGTGCAAACAACATTATTCTAGACACCTTTGGAAGTAGAATAGGAGTACAAAAGAAGACAGCCCTTATAGAATAACCGATAAGGAAGTAAAATATATACAAATGGATCAACTAAATAAAAATTGTAAGGCGTGTATAAACATGTTTCCATTGTTTTTATTGTACCTGCTATTTTTTTCCTTTCCAGAAATGGTTGAGTGTCTTGCTAGGTGAATATAAGAGTCTGTTTTGTAGTACTTGGATTATAAATAAATTTTATTAACTAAAAATAGCATGTTATGCCTAGTTAAAACATACCCTTCTCTGAAGGTGACTTTCCTATGCTATGGGAATAGCTTATATCATCAGCACAGCTGAAACTGTACTAGAGAAATTGTCTAGACAATCTGGAAACTCAAACAGATTCAGCAGATCTTAAGTAAGAATAGCTGTGTTCTTAATTATTCGTCTGTACATGTCCTATTTCATTAAGAAAAAATTTGAATAGTGAGGCTAGAGAGCAAAAAGGAATTATTTCTCTATAGAGGATTTTTCTTCTGTAATACATGACATCTGTTACTTTAGTGTAAACCTTAATCTTAATCCAGCAGCAGTGAGGAAAAGATCCACCATAAAATGAAATCCTCTTTATAGGCAATAAAATGAAATGACTGTTACTCATCATAATTACCTGCGTTCTCTATTTTTTTCTAATCTAATTGGTAGATACATTCAGTAAGAAGGTGGCTTAGTAGCCTTTTCCAAAGGATCTACTGCAGTAGGTGCCAAACCTTGAACTGAATATTAGGTTTTTCTCCATATTTGCTTTGGCCAATGTAGAGTATTTAAACTGTGCCTCTTTTCATCAGCAATAAATGAAGTAGCAGAACAGAACCAAAGCTGAAACCTCTCCAGCTGTATCTGGGACCAAGAAAGAAAGCCCATGAGAGTTTACCTAGAAGGGTTTCAGGAGTGCTTCTCTTTATTTAAGAGGGATGGTGAATGTTCTTAGAAGAATACACACTCCTTGACTTTTGTTGTCATGTCGTAAAAGGCACTGTGCCTTTTCATTGGTACACATTTAATTATGTTTATGGTCATTGCCAAGAAGTTCACAATATATCTTTAAGAAAACAAAGTAGTTGTGGTTCTTGCTGATTTTAATGTTTTTGGTGTACTTACTTTGTAGCATTTTGTTACTTTGTGTAATTGTGTTGTGAGTGCTACTTTTCACTAAATACTGAATAACTTAACCCCCCAGTTATTTTAAATTCTAGATTGGAAAGGCAAGGTAGAGAGGAGGTTAGAGGTGGTTTATATGGTTTTTCAGTTAGCTTTAAAAATAACTTTTGATAATATCATTTAAATGATTTTAAATAAGTTGCAGGTATTATTTGTCTTTTTAATAAGCATAATTAAAATGTTTAATTTAACTACAGTATGCAGCTGATTGTATCAAAGATTTTGCCATTCTCTACATGCTGAATGGATTATAAATGTGATACTATCCCTCTAAGTATAGCCTTTACCTTTTGAAATGATTTTTTTTTCTAATATGGAGGTATATTGGTAGAAAATACATTTGGTATACTTGTTTTAAGTCTTCTTTTTCCAATGTAAGGTATTTTTCTCCCCCTTTTTTAGGTCAGCCCTTTATAAATCCAGATGGCAGTCCAGTTGTGTATAACCCTCCCGTGACTCAACAACCTGTTAGAACTCAAGTGCCTGGGCCTCCACAACAGCCTCCTCCTCCCCAGCCATCTCAACAACAAGCGGCCAATCACATTATATCACAGGTGCACATATCCTAGATTACAGGATGTCATGTTGGCCTTCCTTCACGTAGTTTGGGGATAGATTCACTAACTTTAAGCTGGTGAAAGTGAGGGTCTCCTAGAACCTTAACCCTGTCTCTTTTCTGGAAGATCTCGTATTTCCATTGTAATACTTAATGTATTGCAAAGACTTTCTACCCAGCATTAACTGTTGGACCAATTTCTCCTTGGTAGAAGTTGCTCATATCACAGAATTACTTGTAAATGATGTCTCATTACTCTCGGTGAAACCAAGTTTTAAAACGTTTCGGGGCTCCTCAGCTAAATATTTGCGAATTAATATAAAGTAATAGTATTTTTTTTTCATCAGTCTCCCCAGCAAATATTTAACCCCTGTTCCACAGTGCCAGCAAGGGAGAGGAAAACATAGCAAAGATGAAGCTAATTAAAAGTATAAATGAGCAGTTTGCTACTATAATTCAATATATTAAACAGTTAGAAGAAACTGAGTTGAGTTGCTCAGTTCCCCATGAAAAGTCATCCTTATTCCCTACTACACAACCCATTTGTACAGGCCCAGGAATTCTGTTAATTTTAATTACCAAAGGCTCTATAGCTAATTTGCCAAGTCCAGAACCGTTAAGGCAACACAAATGAAAATTCTATTTCATAACAACACCTTTGTAGAACTCAGTTTACAAATATAAGTCTACAGTTCTTTTGCTCTATCACCAAAATATCACATGTCCTTTGTCAGAGAGAATTTGGTAAAATTGTACCAAGTCTTCTGCAATATCTGACATATATTCTAGTTTAGCTCCGAATAAACTAATCCTAGTTTGTTTGTTTTTTTAATAAGCCCAGTAAAACTTTTATTTCCCTGTGCCTCTTTTGCCTGTAGGAAAGAGCTAATTACATTTTTAATAAATAATTTTTAATTTTATGCTGTAAAAGCTATTACATAGGATTTTTAGGCTCTTTATTTGAATCAAAGTAGCTGGAGAAACTTATTTCAGCAGTTTGGAAGTTAGGTTAAATATTGCAAAGAGCACCAAAAACTATTCTGCTATTAACAAAGACTGATAGTGCTGGAATATGTAATTATTTCAGCTGTTGAGCCATTAATAAGATTTCCTGAGACTATATTTTGTTGATTACATAATAATAGTTCCAAACAGAATCATGTACTAGACCAACCCTGTTACTTTATTTTGGCAGTCAGTAACCCTGTGCTTCTCCCTGTATCAGAGGAATATACTTGTGACTTTGGTATCATGCAATCCTTTTTTTCAGTGTGCCAGACCAAATGAATGCTAATTTTAGATTATCCTAAATTCCAAAAAGTATTTTAAACAATATTTTCAGTGATTTAACATGCCCTTAAAACAACTTTAGCATTGTATTAAGAGGTTTAAGGGACAGATTTTCACCTTATTTAGACTTCTGAATTTCTCAGCATTTGCTGAAGAGGTAAAAGCCAGCAAGAAACTTTAAGAAACTGGAGTTTGATTTGTTGTTGTTCATGTTTAGTCTATATCTCTAAGCCATAACCATTAATTGTCATAGATACCAGATATAGTCTTATATGTCAGGTTAAGCAATTCAATCAGAGAACAGATTCTTTAAAGAGCCACGATCTAGATGAAGCCATGGTGTGCCATGAAATCTGTGACAAGCTTTCTTGGTGTGACATCAAGTGTTTAACAATGTATGAAGTTAGTTAGACAGGCATAGATCCAATGAATATGGAGACGCTCCAGTATCCTCCTTGGTATCTGGAATACTAGAGCCATAGATGTTTATCTTATTGTCCAGTCTGGGGACTATGTCAAAGTTTTCCAACCACTTAGTGTTCATATATACTTAGTGATATTATTTGCTCTTTACTTCTACAAATATTTTATTGCGCATTGTAATATGATTCATCTCTAGGATTACTGGTACCTAGCAGTCCAACAAATTCTAAAGGCTTTAGGTGAGCCACATTGTAACATTTGTTAAAATAATATTGCCCAAGTAAAGGAGACCACTTATAAGTGTTAAATCAGTTGGAATAAGATAAAGTATTATTGCTTCTAAATAATGTCAGAATTTTTCTTTCATCAGTCACATTCAGCCAACAATTTTCCCATTTGTATTTGAAACTAGAGAAACCTCAAATTCATACACTTTTGTGTTAACACGTCTTTTTATTTTTTATTTTTTATTTTTCATCACCAAAAAACTAAAGCTTTGTTTCATCTGGTAATAGTACAATAGGTCAGGATGTCTGGAGAAAAGTTATGCCTAAATGGATGTCTAAGTTAAGATCCCTTTAAGCTGCCTACACTTAGAAGTCAGGCAGTTAATTCAGTCTAGGGCATATTGTCATCCTTTTTTTTTTTTTTTTTTTTTTTTTTTTTTTTTTTTTTTCATCTCAGAAATTTGTAGGACAGCCAAGTACTCTTCTCCAGATACTTCATCACAGTGTTCATATTTTGGTTGTGGGTCGGAGTGGTGGGAAGAGGTTGTGTTTGTTTTTGTTTATACATTTTGAGTGTATTGCTTTTGTGGTAAAAATACATTTTACTCATTTTATTTCTTGTTTTATGCTCATCCTGAGATAACTTTTCCTTTTTTGAGATGATTCTCTTAACCACTTTTCTTTTTTTTTTTTTCTTTAAGAAGTTTTTTGTTTGTTTGTTTTTTGGTGAGGCAGTCGAGGTTAAGTGACTTGCCCAAGGTCACACAGCTAGTAAGTGTCAAGTGCCTGAGGCTGGATTTGAAATCAGGTCCTCCTGACTCCAAGGCTGGCACTTTATCCACTGTGCCACCTAGCTGCTCTTAACCATTTTTCTTAAACTTGTTCATTGTGGATTTCTTTTAAGCACTGTCTTTGGAGATGTGTCTTCCAGAGGAGAGAGATTCCATGTACACATTTTTCAACCAAAAGTAGGGTTTTTTTAACTGTGGTATTCTTGTGAAAAGAGTACTTAAACTAGAAATGAGACTCCTTGGACTTAGCCTTTGCCAAATTTTTTAACTTGCCTTAGTCTAATTTTTTGGTCTGTAAAATGGGTAGAATGATTGCTAACATATGTTCATACTTTCAAGTTTTTGAGAGATAGTGGTTAAATAGAAGGTGGGGTCAAGTACAATCTAGTGTTCTTTGCAGATGCTCCATATGCTCTGGAAATGCTGGGAATTTTTTTTAATCATAATTACCTAGTTCATTTGTTTTCATAACATACATGTCACACTACATTTGGTATATGAAAGAGGCTAATACTTAAAATCATTACTACTTTAGAATGTACAATCATGCCATCCCAGGTGTTTTTTCCCAAGCTATTAAATAGTTTTCAACAATTTTATGTTAAGGGTAGGAGCTATAATTTTTTTTAATTTTATAATTTTAATTTATAAATTATATAATTTATAAATATATATTATGTATAATATATAGATTATATAATTTATAAAAAATTTGTAATTTTTTAAATTATGTAGCTTAATTAGAAGCCCCCTCCCACAGGGCAAGGGTTAAGAATAAATAGTTTTTCTCTTAATGTCTGAAACCCAAAATGATGTTTAAAAAATAGAAATTAAAGTTACTAAATAAATTACCTATTTCAATTAAACCTCTATTGCTTATTGAGTAAAATGAACTGGGAATTTTAAGAAATACTTTTATTATAAAATATCCTAGTTCTTTAATAACTATAAAGACTTTGGGGAAGTTGTATATTATTCCCTAAAGTTTTTGGGTAGCATTTCTTCACTTAGTACTGTATTTTGCCTTTTATATTATGTCAGTAGTGATTTGAAAAGTTGTAATTATTTTAAATTATTGTATAATATTGTAACTTTCCATTTTATGCACTTATTTTACTCTGACATTAACACTTTTTGTAAACCTGTTACTTCTTCAGCCTACTCGGCCTCTGCAGTCTTCTTCACAGCCTGTTCAGTACTCTACAGTCCCTTACCCATCCCCGCTCCTGCCAGTCTCACCTACCCAGCAATATACTGTGGTATTATATCTTCTACTCACCTCCTGCATTCTTTTTGTGGGTGAATGTGTGATGAACGCCAATGTATGTTTTTTCTGTTGTTATTAGCATAAAACAAAGGTGCCTTCTTAACTTTTTTGACTGAAGGATACATATGTGAGCTTTAGGAAGTACCCATATCCCTTATAGACCAAAATTTAAGTGTTTAAAATACAGCATTAATCACTTTATCAATGATTACTTTTGATCTAGTCTTTTTCAGCCTTCTCATAAAATAACACTTTTCAAATTATTTCCTCCCAGATGTTAGATTTGTTTAATTTTTGTTCCCAGTCATGGTAGTTACAGTCTTATGTTGCAATTGAAATTATAGATTTCTTCTGGTTTGGGACTTTGATAAGTCAACATATCTGAACTTACAGTTCCACATAACTATTGACCCTGTAAGGCACCTTAGGAGCCTATCTAGTTATTCTGTAAAATGCTATCATTGTTCAAAATGTTTTTAGGACTTCTCATATAAAACGCTCTTCAGAGCCATATTTGTAAGCTACGTAACAAAGTCATTTTCATTACTTTAATGATTACACATTTTTTCCCCAAAGCAGATATTGCCCAGCTTAAGCACCTGGCTTATTATATTACACTTGTCTCCAAGTTTATTGTTTTTTTAATCCAATCCACTCTCAAGTGATGATTTTCTAAAACCATTGAGGCTTTTACAAAGAGTATGCCAAAAACTCTGAAGGTTGGTAATAATCATAGGAAACATTCCAAAAATGTTTTAAGCAATGACATTAATGTAGTCCCAAATTGCTTTCCAGAATGACTGGACCAATTCACAGCTCCACCAACAGTGCACTGGTGTAACTCATTTCCCACAATCAAACTTACTCAGTTGCTAAATATAGAATTTCCCTTACCAATCTTCCGTTCATCCCAAATATAGTTCATGATTTTAATCTTTTTATTATTTCAACTTCAATTTAATGGTTTTTAAGTCATCTTTTTAGTATCAACTTATTTTCACAGTTGTCTTTAGTAATGGAAACATGCTTATTATTGCCATATTCTGATTTGGCAGGATGGACCCCTATTTGTGTATTTCACTTCTGTTTTCAAAGCCAACAAGGTCAACTGTGTTCTAATCTTTAAATAATTCAGTAAAACACTTGTTAGATGACATGCAAGTTCTACATCATGTGCGCTCTATTGCTACAAAAGGCAGATATAGAAAAATTTCTGTTTATCTTGAAAGTTACTAATGGTAAGGACTTTGTCCATAACTTTAAATACACTATAGTATTATAAATCAATTCTATAGAGTTGTAAATTATATAGCTTCAGAAGGAATCGTACAAATATTCAAGAAAATGATAGCTAAAACTTTATCAAGCCCTGTTTTTGTTGTTTTGGCATGGAGGGTTCCGGCAGGATGTTAAGGAGGAAATTATGCACATGGATTTTAAGTTAAAAAATACTTCACCTGTAGTTGAGTGATACATGCCGTTCCCTGGCTTTTGAAGTCCTTGCTCCAAATGCCAGTTTAATTTAAATTGCAAATCAGTATCATAATCATTTGTTTCACTGTTAAGGCTTCATTTAGGTCTCCAGTTGGAAAAGTTTCCATTAATTTCAAATATTAAAGGCCTTTGTTTTCTAATTTACTTTAATATTCATCTTATTCTAAACATGTTAAAAAATAACTACAAATACTAAGTTATTTTAATCCTGTCTTAGAGTTTTCCTTTTCCTTTCATTTTTCCAGTGTTGCACTTATACATAATTACTGGATGAGAGCATGCTTTATTTGTTAAAAAATGTTCATATAATAATCCAATTCCTCAAAAAAAGTATTTAGAATTTCTTTATACCATCATGTGTATGATTATTTTAATGTATTCTAATCTCTTCCCTATAGCAGGACAACCTTGGATCCCAGTTTAGCCATATGAGTCTTGTCCGCCAGCCATCTGCTGATGCTCCTGACCCTCATGCCACTATGTTCCAGTCTACTGTTGTCCTACAGCCATCACAGCAGTCTGGATATATTATGGCACCAGCCCCTCCTCCAGCGCCACCCCTCCCGCCTGGCCAACCAGTCCCTACTACTGGCTATTCTGCCTCTGGCCATCAAGTAAACCAGCAGATGCTCCAACAACAGGGATACGTGCAGCAACCCACGCCTCAGGTACAGGTTTGTTTTCCTTCTGAATAACTGTGATGCAAAAGCTAAAGAATAGTTTGTTTAGCTATAGCCAAATATGTTTTAGGTCATATAAAAACTTTCTAAAATGGAGTTAAAACATTAGCTTAATTGTTACTTTCTAGAAAAGTGAATAATGCTACTAAAAAAATGTATTCCAGAGAGAAAGACAACATTCTTGGAGTAAGCGTGATTCTTCTTTTTTAAGGGGTTCTTAACCTGGGGATGAACTTGGTTTCTAAAAAAATTTTAATAATATATCAATATAATTGGTTTCCTTTGTAGTCTTACATATTATATTTTATGCATTTATAAACATTATTTTGAGAAAGGGACCATAGGCTCCTCCAGAATGCCAAAGAGGCCTTTGATACAAAAAAAGGTTAAAAACTAATTAATTAGCTAATTTGTTCAATTATATATCAGTCTCTTTACTTTGTTATTTAGATATGGATATAATGAAACATATGTATGAATCAGTCTCTTCTCTTTATCATTATATGTGTATTGGGGAACATATATTCTCTTTTTGTCATACATATTTTAACATATATATATAAAATGAGGAAGTAGAGATTGATTCCATGTTTGTTACTTCATAATCACATGTATACATCTATGTCTAAAAAAAGAGATATTTGACTGAATTTGTTGACTCAAACTATTTAAAAGCAATTTCAACTTATTTAACCTCAAAATTACTATGAATGAGAAAAGATTTGGTACGTGGTTTTCCTTTCCTTGCTTATTTCGCATAGAGACACACTATCAAGGGGAATTTAAACATTGGCTTTATGGCTGTTTAGTCATGGGGCTTGCCGTCTACCTTGCCATTGAATCCTTAAGCCTTCCAGATTTTCCTATCCACTCCACAGATGCATTCTCTTTTATGTGCTGCCTTCCTCACTGTGTGAGTTCCTTGAGAGCCAGGACTGTTGTTCTATTTGTATCCCCAGTGCTTAGCAAAATGCTTGGCATGTCATAAGCACTTAATAAATGCTTATTCATTCAGCCAGTCATAACCTAGTCATGCAGAAATGAATGTAGTTTACAACTGTCTCATGAAGCCTTTCCTTGACCAGCAGCCATTTCAGCTAGGTCCCTTTTTTTGCTAATGAAGAATCCCTAGGGCTTCTTCGTGAAGGATATAAGTCCTAGAGAGGAACCCACGAAACTCTTCATTGTTTCTTGCCTTAAAAGAATATGCTGGAGTATTAGGCCAGATTAGTTCAAAGAAATCTAGAATTGGTTTAAGTTGTTGTCAGACAGAGATAAAATCATTTAACTGGGGTTTTTTGGCTTTTAGTTATGCATCTGAAAGGCCAAACGAACAAGGGAGGTAAGAAGTAAAAGAACATTTTTAAAGTTTTGAGAATTGTTTCTCTAATATTCAAATAGAAGAATTATTTTTCTTCTCCATATTGTCCATCATACTGTGAGCCTTCAGGTATTCAGTAATAAAGGATTATGATATTGATACAAAAATGTGACTTTTTTAAATGTTTCTGCTTTAGATGCCAGCGTGTTACTGTGCTCCAGGGCAGTATCCCTCCAGTCAACATCAGTATCGCCCAGTTGCTTCTGTCCATTATAACACACAGCCAAATCAGGCACTGCCACAGCCTGCACAGCAAACAGGTTAGTGGCATTTAATTCATAAATCTTCGCCATTATTGCTACTTTTCTCATCTTTGTTTATTTCAGCCACCAAAACAAAAACCAAAAATGTAGTTCATGTAGTAACTCAGAAGTAGAATACATTTCAATGTTTAAACTAGCCTGGTTGACAGTGGAGAAGAATGCAACATGCTCCTGATAAAGCCATGGGGCTGTTTGACACAGGTGTCAGATATCACCCAGAGCCTCAAGAGTGGTGTAAAAAGGGTTCCAGTAACAGGATATTAATGCGAGAAGCAGCAGGGCATAATACGCACTGCCAACAGAGTGGAGCTCTTCTTTGTAGCCTAGCAGAATGGCATGGGGAGGTCAAAATTTTTACAACAATTGAGATGGGAACAGTGACAGGTCACATTGCAGGCTCTGCCTTGTGCAGCAGCTCCCTAGGAAGGGCCACCTTTGGAAAAACCAATGCAGCCTAGTAAATTGTATCCCTTTTTTGTATGTATCTTTTTGGTGTTTTATATTTTAGCTTAGTAGCCTTTTGATATGAGGCCACTTTAAACAATGTGCAATCTCAAATTGCTTGCCTTCTGGAGGGATGTGGCAGGGGGCAGATTTGGAATTCAAAATTTTTAAAAAACGAATATTTGTTTTTAAATGTAATTGGAAAAATAATAAAATATTAAGTGAAAACAATGTGCAATTTATTATTAAATGTACTAACTATAATTGGAAACTCTTCTTAACCTTTTCTTCACTTTTTCATCAAACAGTTGATGGAAACAATTGCACTTGCAGATGAAAAGTTATTAGCTTTTATGTTCATGACATGTAAACCTCCGATCCAAACTGTTTCCCTTTCAATAAGATGTATAGCAATAACCTAGTCTCTCACAGGAGCTCTTCTTTTATTATTTAAATTGGAAATTTCAGTCAGCTTCTTAAAGTGTTGTTGTAACACCCTACTGTCATTTGCTTGGAGAGCAGTGGAAACAGTAGCATTTTAAATGCCTATGGGATGTGAGGAGGTGAGCTTGACATTGTGGTGGTTCACCCCAGTCAAAAAGAAAGCAAGGCTTGGCTGATTTCTCTTGATTTTCATGTGGGACTTTTAAAAGTTACCATAGCCCACACTAAACAGCAGAGTACACTCTATAGGGCCTCTCTACATGAGGCTGGTTGGAGAAATGGAACTTTCTGATAGTGTCTCATTGATTAGCATTGCTCACCCCTAGTGTTGCACAGCCCTTCATCTGTTCTATAATCACCAGACAGTCAACGTACATTTTTTTTTTAGTCACTTGGTGCAGGTAAACTAATGGTTAACGGTCATTTATATTTTATCCGTGCTTGGGAATTCCTAGAACTCTAACATATTATACTTAATAGTTAATATTTTTTAACTTAGTGTATGTTTTCCTGCTGCTTTTGTGTTACTGTAGTAATTTTATCCAAAGGTGTGAAGAAAGGTAGTGCCAAATAATCTATAGAAGGTATAGTTTTTAATTACTTTTTTTTTAAACCCAAGAAGTGACTATGATAGCCAGACAAAAGTATTCTTCTCTCCATAGTGGATGAATAGCCAGCCTTGGAGTCAGGAAAACCTAAGTGTAAGTCCTGTTTCTTAACACATATTAACTTCGTAATCATGGGCAATTCCCTTAACTTGTGTATCTATCTATGTCTATGGAAAGAGTTTCCATAATTAAAGTCCTATTAGTCCTTATTTTAAAGACGAGGTACTTTATTTGGAGATGAAATTTTCATGCTTTTTGGATAGGATAAACAACCTGTAAGAAAGAGCACAATAAGGTATTTTATTTTTGTTAACCAAAGAAGAAGCTTGTCCCCACCCCCCAAATCCTACACTTTTATAACAGGCAGTTTCCCTTCAAACAGTATTTTTCTTTATCCTTCTGTATGATATATAGACAATGACCTGTTTTGATTGGAGGAATTGAACTTGATATGATTAGTCAATGGTCATTTTAAAGTAAAGCTTGAAGGAGGAAAAGTGTGAGAGAGAGAGAGAGTGTGTGTGTATGTGTGTGTGTGTGTGTGTGAGTGTGTGTATGTGTATGTGTCCGTGTCCGTCCGTGCTCACATGAACATAGTCTAATAATGACCCTTTTTTAGAAAAGTTAGAATTCTGGAGAAGAAGCAAGAAATTTTCTGTTGCAAATTTTATAGATTGTGAGAATTGTAATATTTTACTAATTTTCATTTTCACATGTAAAATTGATATTTCATGTTTATTTTTAACTTATTAAAACATGATTTTTCCAACACTGCACCATCACTGTCTGATTAAGATGGTAAGTAGCTTGGTACATTCATCCCTGCCTCTTTTATTTTATTTTATTTTTTTTCATTACTAGTCACCTAATTATCAATTCGTATAATGACAAGTAACAGCCTGTTTCCATCTCTAGGAGACATGCAAGTTACTATGAGGGAATTTGGTTACATAAAAAAAGATTCAATGTGGCTTAACTCTTAGACAATATGTTGAGAAAATTAATAGATATACAATTTGTTTTATTTACACAGATACAGATGGTATAAAGGATATTTTTAAGCATATGATCAAGAATTTTAGCCCTGAAAAATAAAATCATCTCTACAGGCCATTTTGGATATGATCAGTTGTAATACACATTTCTACTTATTTTCCCATTTTGGTGTTCCTCAACTCTGAAATGCAGGAATCCTCAGTATATAAAAGATTTGTCCAGCCATGTTTTTCATTTGAGCACATAAATATTTATTTTGGTGAGAGAGGACATCTAAGGCTATTATGGAAATAGAAAAGATATTAATATCAGCTTAATATTGGAAATTAATGTGCTGTCCTTTTTTTCTGTTATAAGATTTCACAAGGCCCCTCAAAGCAAGGTTAGAACTGGAAATAGATACTAAAGGTATTGTGTTCCTCTAAGCCTTTCAAAATGATGTCTCTTTTGGGACTAGTGAGTGGCATATTTCTTGATTCAGTAGATGAGATGTAACACATTTGGTCATAAATCAAAGTGCAGATCAATATATCATTGTAATAAACATAGTTTTACATATAGCCATTTCCTTAAGTTTGGTTTTAAGGTGATATCTTCCCCCTTGTAATAACTAAGTTAACTCTATTTGATATACAGAATATAGCTCTGTAAATAATAAAAAAAGAACTCTCCCCATGAAATAATTATAGTATCAGTGTTTAGGTGTGTAATTCCATGGATGTTTTTTTTTTTTAATAGATGTTTTTACCCTTATTTATTTTTTAAAGAATTTGTCATTTAACCATGTTTGTTTAATATTATGGAATAATTGGCCTTATTTGTGAGCTGTTGGATTCGGGGCCGTAGCACTGTCTGAGAGGTTTACATTTCTCACAGTGAACCGGTCTCTTTTTCAGCTGCTTCCTGGCTTCTTTTTACTCAGGTTTCAATGCTTTTTAAATGCTGTGTTAAAATATTAACATGTTCTGCTATTTTCCTAACATGTAATGTCTTTTAATCAAATTCAACATAGTCCAAAAACAACTGTTTGAATTTTAATTACCATTGATTTAATTTGCTTTTTAAAATCCCTGAAAGCTGTTGCTTTGATTTCTTTTCCAAGGCAGGTATAGAAGGCAATTCAACACTGATTGAGTTTGGTTTGAAGCTGACCTAATAAGGTTTATGTCTTACTTATGTCAGACTCATTAGGAAATATCAACTTTCTCCCTTCCATTCTGGCTATAGAATTCTATTCAGGCAAATTGCCCTGCAGTATAGCACACCAGATCAGCCTGGCACACTTTAATGTGTTGGTATCACTTGATTCCTTCAAGATGTGCAGTGCAATTGTGTGGCTACAAGAGCTAAAAGTCCTCCCTTCCTCCATAGGGCACTGAAAAGAATTTCTCGTTTTAATCATGAAGTGCATTTTTTATAACTTCCTGTAAATGGTTGTAACTTCTTTTCTGATAGAAGCTATTACATGTTGAGTCTTGTGTGTAAGACTTTAATCTGAAAGAGCTAGAGGGATAGAATTAAAAAAGAGGAATTGACCCAGATTCTTGATTTTTTTTGTTTTAGGGGAGGCACTCCATGCCCAGGGTGCATCAACTGATTTTCAGGGTAACTTTCAGACAACTTTTGGTCACTGCCTGTTTTTCATTATCTGGATTAATGAGTAAACATCCATTATACATCTATTTTGCAGTTAGCACAGATTTAGGCTTTACATTATTGCTCTACTTATATCCCTTTTCTTTCTTCAATTAAGTGTCTTTTACCTGAAATCTAGAGCAAAATATTTGGTAAGAATTCCCAAACCATCTTGAACTATCCTGTGAAGTAATCTGACATTTGCCTGATAGCTTATGGGGTAACCTATACTGTGACATTTTTATCAGGGAGAAATGAGAGAAAAGTAGCAGAGTTAATGACAATATGGGCATTCTGGACTTCAAAACAATCCCCAGTGATCTCATATTAGTTAAGTGTCTCTATATTCTTTATGGCAATTAGGGAAACTTTAAATCTGAAATAAAAAATTTAGAAATAAAACACTTTAGACCATGGATCCATGAAAGGTATGTATAAACTCAGTGACACTAATTCAAATTTTTCTAGGCAGTCCTTTATTGTGAAATACATTACCCCAAATAAAAGGTCTTAGAGAAAGTAAAATATTTTGCCTTTCATATAACCTTGCCCTTATTATCTTTCTGTACAAGTGAATTAGAATTCTTCTAAAAATATTAACAGTGACTAGTGAATCTACAACTTCATATTTAGTGCTTTCTTGGCTAAATATTCTTTTTTAATTTTTTGTGTGTCTTCCAGATTATTTCCTGTTAAAATTATTAAGTTTGTACTCCATTATGATAGAAGTTATTTCAGATTAAATCTCTAAAGTAAAACCAATTCAACCCTTTTCTGCTGAATACTGCATTACTTTACTGCTGTCTTCTCTGTTGAGGTGAAATAGAGCTAAAAATAGAATCTTCTTTGGAGCCCTCCAGGGAAGCAGCT